GCTTTGCGCGCGTGTGCATGTCGAAATCGTTCGAACGCCTTTGCGCGCGTGCCGTAGCGGGAATCCTCTGCCAAGAAAGGGACGAAGTTCACGCTCGCACGTCGTCGAGTGTCAAAAAAACATACAACAACACAGGGTTTCGCAACACGGATGTTCAACAAAAGCGTGCGCGCGCGCTCTTGCGTCGTCGTCGTCGTCGCCGTCCTCCCTCCCCCCTCGTCGTCGTCGTCGTCCTCTGTCTTTCCTCGTCGTCGTCGTCCTATTTGGCGTCGTCGTCGTTTCCGTCGTCGTTGTCGCCGTGGTCGTCCTTTCTCCTCCCCCGTCCGTCGTCGTCGTGGTGCGTCGTCGGCGTCTGATCGTCGTCCCTCCTATTTCGTCGCCGTCGGCGTCGTCGTCGTCGTCTTCCCTCCTCCCTCGTCGTTGTCGTCGTCGGCGTCGCCGTCGTCCTTCGTTTTTCGTCGTTCGCGTCGTCGCCGTCCTCCCTCCTCCCTCGTCGTTGTCGTCGTTGTCGTCGTCGTCGTCCTCCCTCCTCCCTCGTCGTCGCCGTCGTCTTCGTTGGCGACGTCGTCGTCGTCGGCGTCGTCGGCGTCGGCGTCGTTGTCGTCTTCGTCGACGTCGTCGTCGTCGTCGTCGTCGGCGTCGGCGTCGTCGTCGTCGTCGTCGTCGTCGGCGTCGGCGTCGTCGTCGTCGTCGTTCGTCGTCGTCGTCGTCGGTGTCGTCGTCGTCGTCGTTGTCGTCGTCGGCGAAGTCGGAGTCGTCGTCGGTGTCGTTGTCAGCGTCGTCGGCGTCGTCGTCGTCGTTGTCGCTGTCGTCGTCGGCGTCGGTGTCGTTGCCAAGTGACATTTGGTACCTAATGTCACGGTTTTAAGAGCTCTTGCGACCAAGTTGCGCGCTAGGAGGTTGGGGTGTTTGCACGACCTGTGGGGAGGACAGCTTCAAGACAGTCAAAGTGACTTTCACCACATAGCTTGCACCGCATAGCGTTCACTTCTACAGTGCAATATCTCACTACTTGGGCATCACGTGTCACGTACTAGAGTACCACGGCCAATAAATGTAATGCTGATATTAACGCTACAGGGAGTTCAGGACAACTATGACGGCATGCCCGGGTTCAGTCTCGCAGGCCTTTTCTAAGATCATTTTTTATCCTTGTTTTATGCCATGCCCTGCCGTCATTGCGCGAGTGATACTCGAAAATCTGGT